TCAAAAGCAAACAAATGTGTACAAGCAAAGGTAAATGGGGAATTATTTTCAGTTTGCACTGATAGAAAAACGTTTTTCTAAAAGAAAAATGGGGAAGTCCTACTTTTTATAAAATATTTTTTTTTCATAAATGTAGAATACATTAACATTTTAACGATATCATAAATTGCACACATAATGTTCATATATATAAATATCAGTTCAAGCAGATGAACCAAATGAAGTAGTAAAAGGAAGACAAGCTGACCTCTGTAAAAGCAAGATTTACAAGGTAGGAAAGAAACTGTCCACCAGTTATCATGAGCACATTTGTGCTGACTAATCCTCCCCTTACTTCTGAGGGTGATGCTTCGGCAATATACACGGGAGCGGTCACAGATGCTACACCCACACCTAGGCCAACTAAAAATCGTCCCAATATCAGCACATACGGATCAGGTGCAGCGGCCATGACAATTGCTCCAGCTGTAAAGACAACATCCGCAAGAAGTGTAGCCTTCTTACGTCCATAAGCATTGTTAATCCAACCTCCAGATGCAGCTCCAATCATTGCACCTACCAAGGCCATGCTGACAATAGTTTCCTGCCAGATGAAAGCATCAGGATAATTCCAAACAAGGAATAACAAATTATTTGCATGTTAATTAGCACTATGAGTTATATAAGATACCAAGTTTAAGGGCAGGTGAAACTATAAACCCTCCAAATCACCCAATTGCTCCCCTTCTGCAACTTTTACCTATTTTTACTAGGGAATAGGATTGACCATCCAGATCAACTAAAAGCTAGCAACTGCATGTACACACCAGCTACTGAGTTTAGGGGCAATGGGATCTAAAAGTCCTCCCAATGCCCCGGTTGCTCCCCTTCTGCACCTATTGCAAACACAAGGTTTGCTTTTTTTTGCCAGGATTAGAATCACCTATCCTAATAAACTAAAAGGTAGCAGCTGCATGTGCACATGAGATCTTGATTTTAGGAGCCATGGGATCTATAATCCCTTTAAAATCCCCCAACTGCTCTCCTTCTGGACCTTTTGCAAACACAAAATTAGCCCAATTTTGTCCGGGATTAGGATCGCCTACCCCATGAACTAAAAGCTAGCAGCTGCATGCACACAAACTATGTTACTGAGACACGAGTGTGACCGTAACACAGGTATGTGCCCAAAACGAGTATGTTACAATTTTTTCCCAAGAGTTCCATGTATTAGAAGGATCCTTGGAGGATAATATTCACAATACACTTGTCTAAGACACAAGATCCAACGATGTTTCCCATGGGCATCAGCTCACAGCTCTCATCATTTCTTCCTCTCCCATTCAATCAACCACACACCAAAAAAAAAAGATTTTCTTTGGTTCCATTTTTTTCATGACTGAAGTAAGTTTAGCATTTCAGTACACCTTTAAAAGCTGATAATACCTGCAGGAAACTACTCTGATTGACAACCTCAAATTCATCTTTTATGTAAAGAAGGACCCCTGATATTACACCAACAATTATTACCATTTCCAATTGAGAAGTTTTTCTTGGCAAAAAAATGTAAGAGAAATTGAACAGAAGAAGAAATGAAGACAATTGTGTGTTCCTGTTTTGTTCAGTTGAAATTCTGATACTGCTTAAATAAAGTTTAACATAATGTAGAAGCCTTGAGCTAACTTAACACTTTTAGGGATTTTAAGCTACAAAAACTCATTTGAATTGAGCAATTAAATGAAAATCAATTACGTAATCATGTTAAGAGTAAGTCTTTCTTCAAGTTTCAAATTTAAGACCAAAAATTTGTTTTACCAAATCCTAGATCAGTCCAATTCTGATGCTAGGACATTCTTAAAAAACTCAGTTTCATCAACTGTAACATAAAAATCAGCTATTAGATGAACCAGCCATTTAAGAAAACAAAACTTGGTTTCAACATTCAACAAATGAAACATATAAAATTTTTCATCAGATGAACTAGACTAAACAGTAAAATCAATGAAGAAGAACAACAACAGCAAAAAGGTTGAAGGAAGAATAAAAAGGGATCTGATACCTGTGTCATAGCCAAAGAGCAAGCCACCAATTCCAGCAATCACAGTAAGTCCAAGATCATAAGGATTACTGAAATATGACATTCTTCTCTCTGGAAACAAATCCAGATACCCTGAACTCCCTGGTAAAGTCTCTAGCGTCATATCTCCAACAGGAAAACAACAATCAAATTCCCAGAAATTTAATTCACGGCTATCAACACTTTGTCAATTATATTTTCAGCTAATTCTCAACAATGAAACAGTTCAAGATTTTAATTTTTCTATCTCTTCAGTGTTGATGATGTTAAAAGGAAAGTCAATAAGAGTTTTCCATATCATGAATATCCGTCAAAACTCAGAAATGAAAACAAACAATGGTTTTCTTTGGGCTATATTCAAGACCCAAAACTCAAGGAAAATGATTGATCAATGAAACCGATCAAGCATTAAGAAACCCAAAGCTTTGTTTTTTGGTCAGGGAAAAAATCTTTCATTTTCGTTTTCTCTTTCTCTCGGAGAAAATATGAAACCAATCTTATTTTCCCAGAAAAATGTTGGGTTTTTGAAGTTGTTTTCTTTTAACTTGCACGGGAGAGAAACAGAAGACTAAGAAGAGAAGAAACCAGTGAACTGAAAATAATGAGGATGAAGACGAGTCTGGACAAGCAAGATTAGACTACTTGGAACCGTGACATGATTAACATTCAGTTTCCACTTCATGTTAATCAATTACAATTATTGATGGTCGCTAAAATACTATAAAACTAACAATAATATTCTTTTAAAAATAATGAAATAATTTGAGTGATTAATAGATTTTTATTATTTATTAGAACTTACGGTCGAAACATGGTGTATCCATAATAGAAAAAAGTTACAATATTTATATAGTACTTCGTAACACGTCATTAAAACGATACATCCATTTATATCATTAGTTAAATTATTATTATTAAATATTAAAAAGGATAAATAATACATTTTTTACCTAAAGTATTACTTTTATATTTTAATGTCTAAATTTTAATTTTTTTTAAATTATTAATAACAATATTTATATGACATGACATGTTAATTTTTTTAAATAGTTGAATCGTTGAGTAAATATTATTTTGTATCTTTCGTATTTATAAATAAATATATTTTAAAGAAGGGTATGCTCTTTAAAAAAATTATCCACTTGAAAATTTAGCATATAATTTATTAGTTGTAGGAGTATTAAAGTTATCTTGCTTTTAAAATAAAATACTATCATTTTCTCTATTAAAATGCCATACCTAATCCGATTTACAAATAAACAAATGCATATGATCTTACACATTTAAATTTGAAGATAAAATTTTAATGTTAATAAAACCTCATATTTACGTTATAACAAAACCTTAGCCGTAAAACATAATAGTCATGAGAAATCCAAATCCATTATTATTATTATGCATGTCTTCTAAAATTAACAAATTTAATTTTAACCCCAGATTATAGCGTAGGATTTTATTCTAATTAGGTGTATGGATTTAATTTATTAGCTTAAATTAATATTTGAGTTTTCCTTTTTTAATCTAAATTGATATTTATGATTAATGATTTTAATTTAAATCATAAATTAAATTTAAATGCCTAATGACAATCCAAACTATATACCTCTATTAAATAATAGTTTGATCAAGAAATTTCAATTGTTGTGTTCGCGCACAGTCTTATCGAGCCACGTGGATCTGATGACTTGATTCCACGTGTCATTTTCTCTTTTCTAGATAAAATTGTTCAAAATATCATTTTTGTTGAGATATCATATTTTAACTTGATAAATTTTGGATATATGCACAATTGAAGCTTAAGAAAAATATTAGCAGCATCAATCATTAAATTGGAATTCTTTAATGAAAATATACAATTATAATTTATAATTCTGTAAAGGAACTAACCGCATATTTTAATCCATCGAAACAATAATTAATTATATTATTCATGGATTTAATAAAAAAATAATATCTAAACTATATTTAAAATTGATCTCTAGTTTTTTAAAGATTTTTTTTATATTTAAAACAGATGTTTCATATTTTATCCGTTAACATATATCATGTTTATAGTTTTTTATTTTTTAAAAAAGTAAAATATTATTTAAAATTATTTTTTTTTAAATTGAACATATTATGTATTACTTATCAATTTTTCAATGGTAAACATCTAAAATTATAACGAAAAAATATTAAATACTTAAATATTTATTTTTGACGAAAAAATTTTAAAACATTAAAAATTAATTTTAAATATTGTTTAAACGCTTATTTTAATATTAAACCTTATTGATGAGAGTAATTAAAATTGCACACAAATTTGGTACACCATCAGAAAGCAGACAATTGGTGCCACATTCACCAGAAATTTCTAAGCTCTCCACACCACTTGCTTTTATTTTTTATTTTATTTTTAAAAAATATATACATGTAAGAGTCTCACTAAATCAAGTAAACATACATAGGGGTATTTCTGTCTCATACGTAAAATGCCAAAGTTGAAAAATTAATCCATCATACATCAATTCAACATGCATTCAAGCATCACGTGAAATTCTAGATCAAACAGACTCCAATTGCATCTATAAGCCATTCTAAGGATTAAATAGTAAATTATTAACTAATTTCAGTACTGACATGCATTTCCTAAATTTTCAGTTTGTACATTCAATTAAAGCTACAATAAACTTTCTGTAGAAAATTTTTGTTCGATTTAGGTTAGGGTTCATCCTCAATTTCAAACTTTAGGGACTTAAATAATTAAAACAAACTTTAGGGACTTAAAAAGGAAATTTAGAAAGAATTTACACGTATCTAAGCTAACATAAATAATTAAGTTAAAGGGCATAGTTTAAAGAACATACTTAAGTATAAAATAAAATTATCAAGAAAAAATTGGTTTATTATAAATGAAATTGTCAATCTTCTATAGCTATGGTAGACACATATCAGTTAGATACACTGGAAACTTCCCACCGTAAACCCACAACCATCGTTTATCTGTTTGGCTGGGAAGAAAATGTTTTGAAGCTCCCAAGTTTCAGATTTTCCCAAAACCTGGAAATTTTCTTATCATTTTAGTTGCCCAGATTTTTTTAATATTTTGATGCTCACTGCATTTAGCAATGCTCTTGAATACTGTCGCGAAGCCATTTTCCAGTCCATGCCTGTAAACATCATTGCCTTGAACTCTTGATAACTAATTCGATCATCCTACAAAACAAAATCAAATTAAAGTTGTTTGTGTTTATAATTTTCCACATTGAACATCCTGGAGAACGGAAGATAGAAAACCTTATCCTTGTCGACATCGAGCATGATGTCTTTGATCAATTGTTCATTGTTGGGACTGTTGTCGTCTTGTAGTAGAGCTTCTTTAAGTTCATCGAATTCGATGTAACCGGTTTGGTTCTTGTCAAAGTAACGGAAAGCTTGACTGAGTTGGTCGTCGCCAATCCTTCTCAGGTGAACAGCCATTGTGACGAACTCGTCGTAGGTTAGTGTCCCACTTCCATCAACGTCAGCCTTTTGGAGAAGAAAGATTAGAAATAGGAAACTTGGAACCCAAGGCATCCAATCAGAAGCACAACCCTAGCCAAGAAATAAATCTTGAAATGAATTACTGTAACTTACAGACTCCATTAACATCTTGACATCAGGATCTTCAACAGAATGCCCAAGTTTCTCCAGCCCATCTCGCAGCTCCTCAAACGACAAATGCCCGTCATCGTCGGTATCCATCATATTGAACATCTCGATAGTCGAATCGATTTGATCCTCTGGTAAGTTGTCTGCTACAACCTGTAATAAAATAGACATCAAACAAGCCTCTTAGATCACTAAAGGTGATTAAAGAAAGTAAAAAAGAAAAGCATAGTACTTACCCTCAAAACTTTCTTCTTGAACTTGCTCATCAATGAGAACTGTTTAATCCTTGATCTTACGTTTTCTCCCAGATTAACGTTCGGACAATGTTTAATGTTTTGAATCCATGGATGTTCTTCATATAAAAACACAAAAGTTCAAATTATCATATATTTTAATTGTTTTCTTCATATTTTCTTTGAATAATCTATTTACGCCCCTTAACATAAAATCAAACGTCCGTTCGAGTACGTACCAAGGACCTCTTGAAGCGTTAGACGATCATAAGGATTAGGATGAAGCATGCACTTGACAAGTTCCTTGGCTTCACTGGAAACCCTAGGCCAAGGATCCCTTTGAAAGTCTATTTCTCCTTTTATTATCGCATGTGCTATTCCTTCCTCCGTTTCTGCACTAGCCACATATACTTTTGAAAAAAATATGAATAATAAAGTAAAATGAAATATTATATGTAAGTTGTAGATTTAATTCTTATTATTCGAGTGATCATGATTTACTCATGCTGTTTTTATGCAATTTGAGTCAAGAATTAAAATTAAATTATAAAAATCAAATCCATAATTAACGCATTCAACCAAAATCCAAATGAAAACATGAATTTAGTGGTAAAAGAGAAGAAAATAATAAATTACCTGCCCAAAAAGGAGGAACACCACAAAGCAAAATATAGAGTATGACACCAATGCTCCAAATATCCACCTCCTCTCCATAATTTCTTCTTAGAACCTCTGGAGCCATATAGTATGGACTTCCTACTATGTCACTGAAACGCTCCCCTGACGTGAGGCATAATTTTATATTAGAAACGGATTTATAAAATTTTAAGGTAAAATAAATTTATAAATTTTTTAAAAGTCGAAAACAGATTATCAATAAAAAATATAAAGAAAAGAACTTAAATTATAAATGAATTTAAAAATCTTAGAGAGCGATCGTCTGATTAAATATATTTATTTTATTTGTTTGAAAGACTCAAATAACCTTATCTTGAACCTAAGACCTTTAAAGATAAGGGTTATTTCTTTAACTAATGAGATCGCTTAATTCATGCATAAATTTCCGTGTCTAAATATAACTTTACCTGAACATTAGATATATGTTAAAACCTTTAAAATTTGCTTTAAATTGCTAACGAATTTTTTTCATTATTTTTAAAAATACGTTGAAGTTTTCTTTAAAATTAAATATATATCGAAACAAAAGTTACCAGATTCATAGAAAATGGAGAGGCCAAAATCAATGGCTTTAATTGGGGCAGTTTCGGTTTCATCTGCGAATAAGAAATTCTCGGGTTTTAAATCCCTATGTATCACTCCATGCTCATGACACACCTGTAATATTAAAAATAAACCTATGAAATTTTCATATAGAAACAAAGTTTATTAAAAGATTAAACATTCAAAAAAATAACAATAAATTACCTTGACAATTTCCAAAATAGTTTTAGTGACGGATGCAGCAGCTCGTTCCGAATAATGACCTTTAGCGACGATTCGGTCGAATAGCTCACCTCCATGGCACAGCTCCATAACAAGATAAACAGCTTCATTATCCTCGAAGACTTCCCTAAAGGCGACGATATTCGGATGCTTCGGCAAATGCCTCATGATCTCGACCTCCCTTCTCACGTCTTCGAGGTCGACTTCAGTCCTCAGCTTCGCCTTCGATATCTTCTTGCACGCGAAAGCTTCTCCAGTTTCGAGATCGAAACATTGATGCGTGATCCCGAACTCACCTCTCCCCAACTCTTTTCCAATCGTGTATCGATCAAAGATATTATCTCCCGACGGATTCTTCAATACCCTACTATTGCTCCCCCATCGGCTCACCGATTTACATGACTCGCTGCGATCGAAACGTGCACGGTTGGATTTTTCTTTGCTGCTGTTTCTGTAATAATATTTCTTCAAAATCGAACCCTGTAGTTTCGATTGAGCTGATATGCAACTTCCCATGAGATGACGGCAATTGAGTTAGCCTGGGGACTCAGATCATTAACATCCCATGGGAAGGAAGAAAGAAGGAATAGTGTCTGGCTGGGAAGAAAATAAAAACCCTAGCAAAGAAAAAAGAATGAGAATATTTGATTTATTAGAAAATGGAAGGACTTTGGTTAGATTTGTCCCTCCATTTTCTTAGGACAGTTTAAACTCCTTCACATTAAAGCCATTGGTTTTGGTTATAAATGCAACTAAAATCTTAAGGATTATATTGGTTTATTACAATCACCACTCAATTTTAGGGCTTTTTCTTTTTCTTTTTTCGCTTCTATTATAATTAATAATGTAGTTTAATCCTTGCTTTCATAGAATTGATTGATTTTTAATCTGAAACCATGTAATTTTTTGTTTATATAAAGATATTTTTTAAGAAATACTGGGTTGACGAGTGTCATTTGGGCTCTATAAAAGGTTGCTTCATTAGGCTTGATTAAAAGGATGATTGTTTTATGTCAGGTCAAGGGTGTCTTCCCAGTGTAGGGACAGGGTATACCTAAGACCCAATTAAAATTTACATAAAATTTACAGATTGTCCGTCAAAAATATCGATTGTAGGATTTAAATTTGACCTTACAAGTTCAAATTTCTAAATCTCAACCATTTTGTACCAACACTCTTTGACTAGTGGTTTAATATCTTATGACCTTTAATAACCCTTAATGAGTCTTTTCCAAAAACATAAAAGCACTTCAGTCATTTTCACCTAAACACAATTCAATCATTTTAACACTTAAAGGGTATATTCGTAATTTACATCTTTTAAGGCTATTTTAGTCACTTCGAGTATTAATGTCTCTTAATAGGCTTATCTATTCATTATGAAACGATTTCAATCTTCATTTCATTGTATGTATTAAGAGACAAATTTATACTTTAATAATTTAGGGTATCTATACTAAATTGGGGTATCAATACATATATATACTCCTGAGTAGTACTAATACCAAATTGGTATGCTAAAACTCATCCAACCATTGGGATTGTCTCAGGAAAGGCGGATTAATATACGGCTAATATATGGCGTTACCGGATACATTAAAAGATATTTGACAAATTTGGTTTAGCGCTACCGGAAATATCGAGTAATAATAATGTAATAGGTGAAAATCATGAAGAAATATTAAAAAATTTGACAACCGGTAAACTTAGTTTGTCGGTTTGTGTCGATACTTTATAAAAATATATTGATCTATAACAATATAACAGGTAAAAAAATAACAAAACCGATCTATAAATGACAAAACAGGTAAAGTGCTACCGGATATATTGAAAGTGTCGATACTTTATAAAATGTATCGATCCGTAACAATATAACAGGTAAAAAAATGACAAAACCGGTCTTTAAATGACAAAACAGGTAAAGCGCTACCGGATATATTGAAAGTGTCGATACTTTATAAAAATGTATCGATCCATAACAATATAACAGGTAAAAAATGACAAAACCGGTCTTTAAATGACAAAACATGTAAAGCGCTACCGGATATATTGAAAGTGTCGATACTTTATAAAAATGTATCGATCCATAACAATATAACAGGTAAAAAATGACAAAACCGGTCTATAAATGACAAAACAGGTAAAGCGCTACCGGATATATTGAAAGTGTCGATACTTTATAAAAATGTATCGATCCATAACAATATAACAGTTAAAAAAATGACAAAATCTGTCTATAAATGATAAAACAGGTAAAGCGCTACCGGATATGTTGATAGTGTCGATACTTTATTATAAATATCGACACTTTGGAATTTAAAAGAGAAGTTATAGCGCTAATAAAGTGTCGATACTTTATAAAAATGTATCGATCCATAACAATATAACAGGTAAAAATATGACAAAACCGGTCTCGAAATGACAAAACCGGTAAAGAGCTACCGGATATGTTGAAAGTGTCGATACTTCCTTATAAGTATCGACACTTTTGGAATTTAAAAGAAAAGAAGTTATAGTGCCAATAAACTGTCGATACTTTATCAAAATGTATCGATCTATAACAATATAACATGTAAAAATATGACAAAATCGGTCTCGAAATGACAAAACCAGTAGTAAACTTGTGTGGTCATTTTTATTTCAGAATTTTCATTTTTTAATACAAAAAGTTGATATTTTAAGTAAAACCCAGTAAGAAAATAACAAAACTTTGCAGTAACAAAAAAATAACATTGGGAAACCCACCATGTTATTAGTTTCTCAAAGAACAAAAACCCAAAAATAGGTAAATTTACAATGTAACCGGTAAAAATATACTGGTTAATTAGCAAATAGATTTACATTATGTATCGATACTCTTTAAATATGTGTCGATATTTTTTTCCCAAAATGAAAGCACAATGAGGTGCACGCATAAAGTGTCGATACATTTAAAATTGTATCAATCCCAAAAACATTAAAACCGATAATTATAATATAATAGGTAAATTTGCAATGTTACCGTTTAAATATACATGTTTAGTTAGAAAATAGGTCAATATAAGCGCTACCTAATATATTATTGTACTTGATAATATTTCCGGTTAAATGATATAACATAACCGGTCTAAATTTTAACCGGTCACTTGTTTAACAGGTCACGCCGTTTTTTAGTTGTTTTTAGGCGCCGCACAGCAGAAGTTCCCTCAAACCATTTCGATACCGACACCAAAAATTAAGTATTGATACTAAACAAGTGGTATCGATATACAAATTGACACTCTTCATAACTTAAGGACAGTTTAAACTCCTTCACATTAAATCCATTGGTTTTGGTTATAAATGCAACTAAAATCTTAAGGATTATATTGGTTTATTACAACACCACTCAATTTTAGGGCCTTTTTCTTCTTTTTTTCACTTCTATATAATTAATAATGTAGTTTAATCCTTGCTTTCATAGAATTGATTGATTTTTTAATCTGAAACCATGTAATTTATTTGTTTTATATAAAGATATTTTTTTAAGAAATACTGGGTTGACGAGTGTCATTTGGGTTCTATAAAAGGTTGCTTCATTAGGCTTGATTAAAATGATGATTGTTTTAGGTCAGGTCAAGAGTGTATCCCCAGTCTAGGGTCAGGTATACATAAAACCCAATTAAGATTTACATAAGAATTTACAGATTTTCCGTCAAAAATAACGATTGTAGCATTTGGATTTGACCTTACAAGTTCAAATTTCTAAATCTTAACCACTTTGTACCAACACTCTTTGACCAATGGTTTAGTATCTTATGACCTTTAATAACCCTTAACGAGTCTTTTCCAAAAACATAAAAGCACTTCTGTCATTTTCACCTAAACACAATTCAATCATTTTAACACTTAAAGGGTATATTCGTAATTTACATCTTTTAAGGCTATTTTAGTCACTTCGAGTATTAATGTCTCTTAATAGGCTTATCTATTCATTATGAAACGATTTCAATCTTCATTTCATTGTATGTATTAAGAGACAAATTTATACTTTAATAATTTAGGGTATCTATACTAAACTGGGGTATCAATACATATCTACACTCCTGAGTAGTACTAATACCAAATTGGTACGCTAAAACTCATCAAACCATTTCGATACCGACACTAAAAATTAAGTATTGATACTAAACAAGTGGTATCGATACACAAATTGACACTTTCTTCATAACTTGTTCAAAATTTAAGGTCTTTTTTAATATAATATTGATATTGTATGAATAATATCATTATCGGATCCAAATATTATATTTTTAAGCCTAAAAAAGTGTTCTAAATTAACTATAAACACTTAGTTTGAGGCCCTAGTAGATCTCAAAGGCCTATGAGAGTATTATGACACTATTTAGTATAATTTTTTACAATCTTTTAAGGCCAAATACTCAACATGTATCCACCAACAAGAAAAAGATTAAACTTATAATAACTATAATTGAAATTACGATCCCAATCGTGATTTAAATTCATGCCTATGATTGGAGCACTTTGTTTGGTTTTGTAACATGGCTGATTTGGAAACAAAGGAATGATTTGATCTTCTATGATAAGAATGCATGTGCAGCTACGTTGCTGGTTACGATCTCTAGCTATGTATATGATTTTGACAATTCCGTGGAAATTGCAGTCAAATATGGATCGAAAGAATGGGTAGGGATAGTTATTCTTGTAAAATTTTCTAGTTTTCTTATATTTTAAATTTATTAATAGTATAATTTCATCTCTTTAAAATTTTATAATTCGCCATTTAACATAAAATCTTACGTCAATTCATGATTGCAGCTAACCCAAGCCAAAAAATCTACGCAGCATGGGTACGACAATTCAGTGTCGAACCAAGTACCTTATTCGTCCCCAACATGAGTATGAGACAGTTATAGTTTGGGTACGTATTAGGGATGTTCTATGTTTAAGGGGTAGGACTGAAATTAATTGGGCATTGGAGAGATTTTCGAGGACATATTGCCGTATCGGGGATGATATTTGATGTTCATGTGCGTACTTAGGATTATTTTAAGACTTAAATAATAAAAAATGATATAGATGAATTAGGATATGATTTATTTTTAAATTATGATGTAATTTCTCTACAAAAAGTTGTTCTTCATATCCAAAAAGTTGGCAGGCTAATTTTGGTGTCGAAACTCCATTGCTCCGATATTTGGTTTTCAAAATGCTTGGACAACCCATTTCATCCTTTTGTTGCGAAAGAAATTAGAGTACTTATTCTCCCGTCTACTCACTTGAGAGGAATAAGTTAAATTCAATCGTATTTGGATTTAGTTTATATCCACACAAAATTCCTTCTTTTGTTAATGAATATTTATGACTTTTTATGTATTTTAATATATTACCATATCCTTATACCCGTATACTATAAAATGGATATGTTTCTTAATAAATAGAGTGAAATGCAAGGTTAACGGAACTTTCCTCATAATTTAGGTAAGGGAAGGTGACATTCAATGTATTACTTACTATCTCTCTAAACTCCCCCTCCC